TCAGACAGAAAGAAAGAAAGAAAGAAAGAAAGAAAGACAGACAGACAGAAAGAAAGAAAGAAAGAAAGAAAGAAAAAGAAAGAAAGAAAGAAGAAAAACCGTGGAGAAGAAATCAGGAAAAATCAAATAGATAAAAAAAGGATTTATAAAGTCGACAAAAAAGAAAGAAAGAAAAAAAGAAGTGAGGAAAAATATGACATGAAACAAATAAAGATAAGAAAAAGAAAAGTGGAGATTAAAGATCGGACAAAAGAAAATGGTGAAAAGAAGAAAGATGAAACAGATATATATCAATGGAAATTGGAAATAAAAGTGGAAAGAAAAAAAAGAAGTGTTACTAAAAATTAAAAATAAATCAAGAAATAAAACGTGTACAAGAAAATAAAGAAAAAAAGAATAAGAAAGAAAGAAAATTAGAAAAAGAAAAAGGAAGGAAAATTAAACGTAAAGTAAATCAAAATAGCTAATTAGGGAAAGAAAAAGATATGGAATGAACAAAAGAAGGCAAACGAAAAGAAAGATAGAATAAAAACGAAAAGAAGAAATATTGAAAGCATGAAGAAAAAAGAAAGCAGTAAGTAAAAACAATAAGCATGAAGAAAATATGTAAGAATCTCGGTAACGGAAACTGAAAACAGGGAATATGTAAAAATAGGAACATAAAAAGGGAAACGAAACATGGAATTAATAAAATGGAAAATAAAATTTGTCTGGCGAGTTAATTCTGAGAGAGAAAATAATAAAATATGTGAAGAGAGGACACCAGTAAACAAATTGATATGCGCAGACTGGGATGTGAAAATATTTATACAGATAATTAAAAACAGATTAAAATAAACAAAAATACAAACTGATGAAAGGAAACTCTGGAGTATAAAATAAAAGAGGTGGAGATAAGTGTCAGGGCCTATGGCCATATCACACGGAAACATTGGTTCCCGAACGATCAGCGAAATTAAATAACGTCGAGCTTGGTCAGTAGCTAGATGGGTGACCGCTTGCGAATACCAGCTTGGATGTGCGGGTGGTGTAATGGATAATCGGAAAGCCGAGTTTCAATTCCAGTTGGGTTCATTATATTCAGTTAAGCACAAATAACCTTGGGAAAGGAATGGATTCACCTAATATCCCCCCCTCCAGTTATAGTTTAAATAGTAAGACTTGTATCACTAAACCATTATTATCTAAAAAAAAAAAAAAAAAAACAATCTAAAAATATTTTCTGGCTTCAAATTTTAAAATTTTATCACATAAGAGCAATTTTGATTTTATTACCATAGTTATATAAACTTCTCCTATGTGCCATGTCTCTTCAGGACGTTGGCGATCATGGCTCTCCACAATTTCTTGTCCTTTGTTGTTCTTAATAATTTTTGTCTTTTTGCCATCTCCCCCAAACCTGCCTCACCATCCATTCACTCCAGCTCGCCCGGTAAGTTATGCTTTGCTTTCCTCTGTCCCTCTTACGTTTAATCTATCCTGGGAGTATCAAATTTTCCGAGCCGTCCTTCTGCATTATGTACACAGAAATTTCAGTCACGACAAAGTCTTGGAGTTAATGGCGACAAAAAGAACACTTATACTTAACATCTGTTGTATCAACAGATTTAAAAAAATATTTTTGATTTTTTTTGTTTATCGGAGGCAGAAAAAAACATTTTGGCTTTCATATTTTTCTTGTCATTCTCTAAACATAGGTTTAAATTTTGATCATAGATAATTTAATATTCAATAAAATAATTTCTTTTTTTTTTAAATTAGATTTTTGATGAAACTCAGTCATGTAACCGTAAAAATTGAACTGATCAATAGAACTTTGGTTCATCGAACAATTAATAGTGTCTTTTTTGTTTTTAACAGCGTATCTTCTGGCCATAAGCATTTAGAATTCCTTTTCCTGTGGAAAGATGGAATTGACAGTTATTGGCTTAGTGAAACATTTCATTTTGTTTTTTTATATTCGGTGGCATTATGAAACACACTTAAGAACACTTGGTTTTATTATGATAGTTGCATCAACTAGTGGAGTAATGGATAGCGGCTCAAATTGAGAAATCGGAGAGACGAGTTCAAATTCCAGTCAAATCCATTACATTCACTTACGTGCTATTATCCTTGGGAAAGGTATGAAACCTCTTCATCTCCCCACCCCAAGCAGCTATGAGTAAATAGCAGGACAAACCGGGTTCTTTAGCCTTGGATGGGAATCTACCTTTTCTCTCTCGGCTATGAGTTAAATAAAAATTGCATCCTAAAATCATTATTATTTCCCAAAAGCTGTTGATGCAAAATAATTATTCAGTTTTACATAATCTAAAAAAGTTGTAAAAAGTTAACTAATAAATCATTATAACACGACTTTACGAGGCCATTAAATAGGATTTTGCATTTAATTATCTTAAATGGAATTACGGTAGAGTAATGAATGGCTGCTCGGCTTGAGGAATCGGAGTCAAATCCATTACATTCACTTACGTGCTAATACCCTTAGGAAAGGTATGAAATCCTCTTATCCTCCAGCTATGGGTAAATAGCAGGACAGACCGGGTTCTGTAGCCTTGGATGGCAACTGGTCTACTGCAGAAATGGCAGGCTACTGCGGGAAAAAAAAACTGCTTCGTCAGTCATGTATCGAAAGCGCGTATTACACATGGCACATAACTGACTGAGTTGTATCAATAGAGTTTTTGAAGAAATATTTTTGGTAATTTCCTTTATTGAAAACAGAAAATAACCATTTTGGCTTCCTTTTTTGTTTTTTCGTTTTCCCTCTCCAAAATAAAAATGTAATAGAAAAAAATGATTGCGCAATTTATAGAGAAAGTATTGTGAATGGTTGGTCTTTTCAAAAGTAGTTTGCTAAAATTTGTGCAGAACAATGGTTCTAGGTTGATATCTATTAAATGAAGACATTACCAGAGAATAATCAGCATTATACAACGTGTTATTTGGGTACATCGAGGCGGTGTAATGGTTAACAAGCTTGTCTCGCTAGAACAGTTACGACTGAGTAGTGAGTTCGATCCTCACTGGGTGCCCAATACTTTCGGTCCTGTGTCACATCTAAGGTACGCTTGGAAAATCACTATACAATGTGTTATCCAACATAACTCAAATGATACAAATTAAGTGTTGAAAATCCTTCGTACGAGTTTGGTTACATAAATTGCATTAATATAAAGAAAAGATACCATTTTTGAAATGCTTTGTAATGTCAAGGAAAAGTGGCTACTTTATAACAATGGGATGCAAAAGATCGTGGAGTAAGCAAAATGAATCATCACTAATTATAACAAATACTGGTCTGTATATATTAGAACCCCGCAGTAATAACCAATCAAAAAGAAACAAATAACGCCACTTATATGGTAGAATGGAAAGTAGTCTCTATACTATGTGATCCTTCTAGAGAATCAAATCAAAAAACTGATTCAAACAATGAATAAATCCAAGTTAAGTCAATGGAAAGAATTAATTGATAAAATAGCCAGGATTATTATCCTTCGATAATCCTAGGATTCATGTTTCTTTGGTGATTAGGTAAAACTTCTTAGATGAAAGGTTTTCATTCTCTTGCTACTCTATCACTATTACAATGTCGGCTGCTCGGAAGAGTTACATCCCTTAGTTCCAACAGTTCATACCTTCAGAACTAAGACACCACCAGACAATATTCACGTTGGCAAACCATCCTCATTCCCTTGGTGAACATTTGATAAGGAGTAAGTTCCACACACAGCTTCTTCCTCAGAACTTTTATTTTGGGAAACGGACACCCAAGAGGATGCTTCCTTGACAACTATAATATTGGTCCACAGTCAATTAATATCTATACCACAGTCCTCATAATATGCATTTCTTATTCCCCCCTCCCGACATCTATTGCAACAATCTTACTCAATAACTCTCTATCCTGAGCGGTCATTGGGCTTGGTATTGAATTATTTAACTGTAAAAGAAGGAACATTAATTGCTATTAAGAAATCTAATGTCTTTTTGGAGGAATCACTAAATGCAACGTGACGGGAGAGGTTAAGACGGAGATAGGGTGAGAGAAAGGGTAAGTATGTTATAGAGTGTTAAGAGAGACGGATGAGAGAGAGAGAGAGAGAGAGAGAGAGAGAGAGAGAGGGTGGTGGGTAAGGTAGAGGGGTAAGAAAGACAGCGTAAGAGAGAATGATAAAGGGAAAGAGCCAAAGAGTCAGAGAGAAAGAAAGATAAAAGAGAAAAAGGGGGAAGTGAGAGAGATAAATAGAGAAAACGTGATATATACATAAATTAAAAAAAAACCACACACACACACACACACAGAAAGTATTTAAGGAGAGAAGCATAAAATTAGTGATGGGTGGGAGAGAAGGAAAGCGAAAAAGAAAGAGAGTGGCGGAGAGGGCTGATATAGAAATAGAGAGGAAGTGTGAGAAGTAAAGAAATAATTAAATTAAAAAAAAACATCTAAAGTAATTAAAGAAAGAGAGACAGAGAGAGAGAGAGAGAGAGAGAGAGAGAGGGAAAGAGAGGAATAATAAAGATGGAGAGAAATTGGGGAGAGAAGCAGAAACTAAAATAAGAGCGAGGGAAAATGAGAAGTATACGGAGAAAAGTGAGACGCATAAAAGTGAGACACACAAAATAAGAGACATTTTTAGAGAGAGAGAAAGATAGAGAAAGAGAGAGGGGGAGAGAGAGTTCATTAAAGAGAGAAAAACATGATTAATTAAGGATAGAAGTAAAAACTTAAAAGAGCCTGAAAGCGAGAGAGATCAATAGTATTGCGTCTGCGTATATGTGTGCAACGGAGAAAAAGAGAAATGGTAGCAGTAAGCGAAGGGCGGGTGTTGGGTTGTAGCGAATGGCGTCTAAGATGCAAATATAGCGCCGTTTGGCCTGCTTCATAAAATTGTCCGATCAAAAGTGAAGAATCCCCTAACGTTTTTGATTCAGCAATTCTACCGTCGCCATGGCCTAGTCTATTGTCGGTAAACGTTCCGTTGAATAGTTTTCTGGCCACGGTTTACAGGACGGGCGATTTGTGCCATGGTCATCAATGGCGTCTTTCTCGATTGACAATGAACTGCTGACAAGGCAGGCAATATTGAACGGAAGAATTTCTCTTGAATGAGAAACACGACAAAAAGAAAGAGACGATGAAAGAGATATATTGATTCAGAGGGAAATCACAGTGAACAATGACAGATGAAAAGGGGGAATAAAAGGAGGAGAAAAGGGATAAGTAAAAGGGGAAAGAGAGAGGGGCAGATAGGGAGAGAGGCGGGGGAAAGGAAAATGTTGTTGGAGTGGGAGAGAAGAGCGTAGGTGAGGATATGAAGACAGAGAAAGGAAGCAAAAAGAAAAAATAATGAAAATTACGCGTAGGGGAGAGAAAGATGAAGAAAAAGAAGGAAATGAGGAAGAAGAAAATGAGAAAACACTGGTAGACGTGATATAAATTCCGATATATATATATATATATATATATATATATATATATATATAAGGCCACAAAGATGAACGACGGCAAAGCGCTGTTATCAAGACCATTTTATTTGTTCTTTTTCATATATATATATATATATATATATATATATATATATATATATATATATATATATGAAGAAATATAGTTTTAAGGCGTGCTACGTTTACGGGCTAAAGTGCTCAATATCAGAGATAGAGCGTATGTAAATACAAATATAAAAGTGAACATTGAAGTTAACACTCAAAGGCGACAGGCTGTTTAATGATAGTCGCAATCGTCAGGCCGCCTGATGATTGCGTCTAGCATGAAACAGCCTGTCGCCTCTGAGTGTTGACTTCAATGTTCACTTATATATATATATATATATATATATATATATATATATATATATATATATATGCTGAATGTTTTAGATGGTTGTTCTATCTGTAAGTTCACATGAAAATCAGCAGTCTAATGTACCCTATGTGAATGTCTTTCCTGGTAGATATGCCGAGCACTTATGTCAGTTTTGTGGTAAAATTTGTAGGTCTGACGCCGGGCTGAAGCGGCACATGAGAGTGCACGAAGAGAAAATATCATTCAAAATTCCTTCGTGTGTCACATGTGTAAAAAGATATCTAGGACCGGGACTGTTCTGCAAAGTTAGTGGCAATCCCATGGTCGATCAGTTCAACGTCATTCTTCTGTGAAAAACTAACAGTCATTACATATATATATATATATATATATATATATATATATATATATATATATATATATATATATATATATATATATATATATGTTTGTGTGTGTGTGTGTGTGTGTGTGTGTGTATTATAATTATAAAATTTGCTTGAGGATGAAACAGAACTAGGCACTTTAATTTAATTTCTATAATTAAATTGGAAGATTTTAGATTCTGTTTTTTGAAACATGAGAATTCCTATGTAGCGAGGAAACCATATATATTTTCTTAACATTTTATAATATAGGCTCTACTTGTGTATTGAGCACAGTTTTTTTTTTTTTTTTTTTTTTTTAAATAAATGCAAAAACTCTAAAGAATTTCGGATTATTAACCTAACGGGTCTTATTTTTCTATATATTTGCACACACACACACACACACACACACACACACACACACACACACATATATATATATATATATATATATAATTAAAAGAAGCCTTCCCTCTTCTTTTTTTTGCATTATTATTATTATAACTATTTTTTATTTGTTTATTTGTTCTGATCCCCACATTTTTTTGACAATGGTTTTCCAAAAGAATTTCATATCAAAATATTTTATCCATTTTTTTTGCGGTTCCTCTCCTCTTTTTTTCTCTTTCATTTTATTTTTATTAACTTTTTGCGTTTTCACACTTTTCCCATCTTGCCAATTCTATCAACACTGACTGAATACGGGACGTCTTGCCAATCACAAAGCCTACAACACTCTTCCCCCTTTGTTCAAAATCCTACTGCCGTACTTCCACACCGATAAAGACAAAACAGACTAATGCGTTCACCCCGAACATTTTCAAAATAAGTCTCACACGCGCTGAATCAAGCAGGGATCGGATTTTTACTAATAATACCATCTACAATGGATGCACACCAGCCACAAGAACCACTGTTGGTGAGTCTTTATTTCTCGTACCGCTGATGAAGTACTGGAATCAATCATAGCCCAGAAAGTGTAGAGTATACCTGACCGACATCAGTCTCACTGGAATCGATCGTAGCCCAGAAAGTGTAGAGTCAATCTGACTGACATCAGTCACACTGGAATCAATCGTAGCCAAGTAAGTGTAGAGTATACCTGACCGACATCAGTCTCCCTGGAATCGATCGTAGCCCAGAAAGTGTAGAGTATACCTGACCGACATCAGTCTCACTGGAATCGATCGTAGCCCAGAAAGTGGAAAGTATACCTGACCAACATCAGTCTCATTGGAATCGATCGTAGCCCAGAAAGTGTAGAGTATACCTGACCGACATCAGTCTCACTGGAATCGATCGTAGCCCAGAAAGTGTAGAGTATACCTGACCGACATCAGTCTCACGGGAATCGATCGTAGCCCTGAAAGTGTAGAGTATACCTGGCCGACATCAGTCTCACTGGAATCGATCGTAGCCCAGAAAGTGTAGAGTATACCTGGCCGACATCAGTCTCACTGGAATCGATCGTAGCCCAGAAAGTGTAGAGTATACCTGACCGACATCAGTCACACTGGAATCGATCGTAGCCAAGTAAGTGTAGAGTATACCTGACCGACATCAGTCTCACTGGAATCGATCGTAGCCCAGAAACTGTAGAGTCAACCTGACCGACATCAGTCTCACTGGAATCGATTGTAGGCCAGAAAGTGTAGAGTATACCTGACCGACATCAGTCTCACGGGAATCGATCGTAGCCCAGTAAGTGTAGAGTATACCTGACCGACATCAGTCTCACGGGAATCGATCGTAGCCCAGAAGTGTAGAGTCAACCTGACCGACATCAGTCTCACTGGAATCGATCGTAGGCCAGAAAGTGTAGAGTATACCTGACCGACATCAGTCTCACTGCAATCGATCGTAGCCCAGTAAGTGTAGAGTATACCTGACCGACATCAGTCTCACGGGAATCGATCGTAGCCCTGTAAGTGTAGAGTATATCTGGCCGACATCAGTCTCACGGGAATCGATCGTAGCCCAGTAAGTGTAGAGTATACCTGACCGACATCAGTCTCACGGGAATCGATCGTAGCCCAGAAAGTGTAGAGTATACCTGACCGACATCAGTCTCACTGGAATCGATCGTAGCCCAGTAAGTGTAGAGTATACCTGACCGACATCAGTCTCACGGGAATCGATCGTTGCCCAGAAATGTAGAGTATATCTGGCCGACATCAGTCTCACTGGAATCGATCGTAGCCCAGAAAGTGTAGAGTATACCTGACCGACATCAGTCTCACTGGAATCATCGTAGCCCAGAAAGTGTAGAATATACCTGACCGACATCAGTCTCGGAATCGATCGTAGCCCAGAAAGTGTAGAGTATATCTGGCCGACATCAGTCTCACTGGAATCGATCGTAGCCCAGAAAGTGTAGAGTATACCTGACCGACATCAGTCTCACTGGAATCGATCGTAGCCCAGAAACTGTAGAGTCAACCTGACCGACATCAGTCTCACTGGAATCGATTGTAGCCCAGAAAGTGTAGAGTATACCTGACCGACATCAGTCTCACTGGAATCGATCGTAGCCCAGAAAGTGTAGAGTATACCTGACCGACATCAGTCTCACTGGAATCGATCGTAGCCCAGAAAGTGTAGAGTATACCTGATATAGAGGATATCAAATTATCCTCCTTTCGCCTTGATTACTGCAACACAATTTTTTGGTATTCATTGCAAAAGTTTCTCAAAGTATAGGTTTGATAATTGATTCCATTCTTTTTTACATTGACTCTAAGTGCTCTTTTTCATTGTTTTTTTTTCACTCTCAAGTTCATCTCATGCCAATTCTGGGGATGGCTTCAAAAGTTTTGATCTGCAAAGTATATATCTATATAAATCTATGTATTTTAATAAAGCCACTAATACACAAGGGGTTACTGAGTGTTGAAGAATATGATAAAAATGCTATTAGTTGAGAAAACAATAAAAGAACAGATTTAAAAGACATAAGACATAGGATAATGATTGACATTAGATTTAAATTTTTGAAATCAAACAGGACTGGGAAGCAAGAAGCTGGAATAGATTTCTAAAAGCAAGAATTGCAATAGAAGAAACTGTTTGCATAGAACTTACGGTTGCATCTAGCCATTTCAACTGTAAAACATTGAGACCTTTTCTCCACTCTTGTACGGCGCTTAAATTCATAAAGTCTAGATACCACAACGGAATGTTCATTAGAACAATTACCATGAAAATATTTATAGAAGAAAGCACATAGAGGCTACGGTAAGGTGGCAGGAAATTGACTGAAATTGAGATGCCAGGTCAGGGTTAGTAACATTGCAGGTTCTTCGTTGGATTTTATCAGGAATCTATATATAGCAGGAGCACCAAACAAGATTTGGCAGCAATATTCCAATCATGGACGAATAGTAGACTTATGTATATGTAAGATAGATTTTGGAGAGAAAAAATTATCTAGCACGACACCGTCATCCAATTTCCCTAGCAGAAGACCTAGAAAATAATTTAATATAGTCTTTCCACTTCATGTCAGTGGAAAATGTTAGCCCGAGAGAGCGCAACAAGTCACTCCCCTTGAGGTTAACATCAGTCATGCTGATCAAAGGAAAAATGGAGTCTCTCAGATGATTAGTAAGGGAGCAGTTTTATTTTGGAGGCGTTAAAATTAACAAGCCATTCCTTGCCCCAGTTAACAACATATTGTAGGTCATTTTTGAGATCAGCTGTCAATTTGCTCTTTCGAACCCACCAGTCTTACTATTAAGACACGATTAAATAGTTGTATCATCAGCAGATCGAGCTGAGAAATGATTCCATCAGGAATGTCACTGATGAAAATTAGAAATAGCTTAGGTCCAAGGATAGATCCCTGGGTGACACCTGCATTAATTTCGAAAGATCTAGAAGGGTGGTCGTTCAGGACAACTTTCATTTCGGTATTTAATAAGAAAGACTGAATCAGTTCAAATAATCCGTCCCGAAATACAATAGCCTTTCAACTTGTGAAGAAGACCGCTGTATATACTGATGCACTAATTTTGAGGGGGCGATGCTGATGCCATAGGAATTCATATTTGGGTTAAGAATGATCTTGAACAGAAAATACACATTTTCTACTTAGTTTTCCAAGAAATAAGACTAAAGATAAACTTTTCCAAAACAGAAATTATGATTTGGAATTTGAATGAAAGGAAAGATGGCCCCTAACTTGAATCCATCAGAAAAATTAAGTATGTGAAATTAGTAAATACTCAGTGTAAGGTTGTTATAACAAATTTTGTATTGAAGAAAAGGAAATTGAACATTGAATAGGACGCGCCAGAGGGAACTTTGCACAACACCATTGTTACAAAACCAATCAATCAACCTGGCAACTCGAGTCATGTTCTTAAATAGCCTCGTCTGATCGAGACAGTCATATGGATGTCATGCACTATGCCAAATCCGTTCAGAAATATCTAAACTGTCAGATGTCTACAAACGCTTTCTAGGAACAATGGTTAAAAAAAAGGCTTTGAATTAATGAATACTGTTTTATTTTCCAAATAAGGTCGGCACATTGTGTCCGATTTCATAGTTGATATTATTGGGTGTTGTCTTTTTCCTTTTTTTTATTATTATTCGTGCTTCCATTTTTGTTGTATACGGGCAAGTGTCTCCTTTTCTGGTTCAATGTAAAAAATGTATAATGGTTTCTCGTTTTCGAGTCATTTCGGGAAAACTGCTGTCTATTTTTAAGGAGTATTATTGGTTATGCTAATATAATAAATAATGTTTATGTGATTGGTAGACGGTATAAAATATGCTGAATATATACATATTCTTAATTTCCAGTATGTCTAGTAAATGTTGTTCGTATTTAATTTTATTAATGGTTGGTTTCTTGCATTTTATAAGAATTTCCATCGTACCTTGTATGCCTTATTGATAGAAATTTGTATTAAAGGTATTAAAGGGGTACTGTTGAAAATACATCATTATATATATATATATATATATATATATATATATATATATATATATATATTTAAACATATATCATTAAATATAACAGACAATAAATGTCTATTATATCTGATCATGAGGTGTTATAATTTATAATTTCTGGGAAAAAAAAGACAAAAATTGTCCAATATTTGGATGTTTCTTTATTAAGTTGGTCCTAAGCTTTTGGCTCACATGAGCCATCCCCAGAGTGGCTATACAGGCATGAAACAACGATATCTACCGTCAAAGATGATATTTGGTTATTTTGACATAGAAAATTGCTATGCGACGATAACGGTCTCGGAGTAACAGACGCAGATCAAAAGTTCAAGATGTGGTTCTATGACGTCATACCACGTGATAGCCTGAAGTGTCTAAATGCAATAAAATGTGTAGTGATTTGTTTGAAATATAATTTTGTTGAGTGTGGGTTGCTTTGTTTTAATGTAGATGGCCTCCAATATCTGAAGGTTCTTTTTACTGTCTAATATTATATAAATTGTTATGTTTTTCTAAGAAATGTTGTTTAATAGAACTAAGATCAAAAAGGTGACAGGTAAAACTACGGGAGAGCATTTTTTTTGTTGTTGAGGATTTAGATATATATTCAGGATCCGTTTCAAACAACACTTTAACCTAAGAGTACATTGGCATATATATATATATATATATATATATATTATATTTTTCTATATATTTTCGCGCACACAAACACACACACACACACACACACACACACACACACACACACACACATATATATATATATATATATATATATATATATATATATATGATCGAATAAAGAACAAACAAATCTTTTCACCTTTATTAAAGCTTCAAGGAGAATGAAGAAAAAATATGGAAAAAAAACCTTCTGGTATTTTCGTTATGTTATTGTTTAATTTTCATTAGTTAAGCAGGTTTGTCGTATGAGTTGTATACACCTACTATATATGTTAGAAAATAATATGTAAATTTTTATATATCAGGACACTATGAGGAAAATGAATGATAAAAATGATATGAAAAAATTCTATAGCGCGTTTCGGCCTTTAGAACTTCATCGGCTTAAATTAATGCTTCCGTTGATGTAACTGCTTATGAGCACGAAGGGGGAGAAGCTTCTGAAATTTTAAACATTTAAATTTGATTTATTTTTAATTTAAGCTTTTTTGTATTTAACTGCCCTCACCCATTCATAAGCATGCATAGTTACGTAAACGGGAACATCACTGAAGTCCGAAGAATACCGAAGAATATCGAAGAATTCCTAAACGTTGAAATGCGTCAAACGTTTTTTTTCCACTTTAATGTTAATTTTCCTAACATTGTTTTGATATATAAAATTTACATAATATTTTAGACTTTAACGTTTATAACTTTTAACAGTAGATACATACATAGAACAATTCATACGTTCAATTAAACGTAAAAATAATAAAAAAAATCATCCTCTATAATGGTTAAAAGAATAGGCAAAAGCGTTCTGATATGCAAAACATTTGGAGAGAAAAGAAAACAGTTATACGAACCTAGAAAAATTAAATAAAAAGCTTAATCTAAAAACAACATAATTACATATATATATATATATATATATATATATATATATATATATATATATATATATATATATATATATATGATATTAGTGGTCAACATATAAAATATATATATATATATATATATAAATTTCAAGAGGATAGAATCAAGGTAGAACTAAATTTCAGGACAGAGTAAGAATATAATATAAAAGGCTCAAACACTAATATTCCATGGTTATAATTTATTACATTGGAATCGTAATCACGATCCAATTCATCAAACCTAAAATATATAAATATATATATATATATATATATATATATATATATATATATATATATATATATATAATATAAATTAATTGATTTAAAATATGGTGTTTTTAAAATCCATATTTTAAATCAATTAATTTATATATTAATGCTCTGTAAATTTACATTGAGCACTATTTTGTAAAAATAAAAATATCTATAAGAACACCGGATTATATATCTTACTGTTCTTTATATATATATATATATATATAACAAAAGTATAGTTTTAAAGTAGGCTGTATTTAGAGATAGAGTGTATGTAAATATGAAAGTGAGCACTGAGGTCAACACCCAACAGCGAGTCGGTTTTCCGCTTAAACTGATAGCATTAAGCATCAAATAGACGCCCGCCGTTGGTTGTTTATCTCAGTGTCCATACACACACACATACATGTACATACATACACACACATATATGTGTTCATGTGCGTAAGTTAATCTTACGAAATTGTTATATTTTAAATATATATTTTATCCTGTTATCCGGTTTACACACACACACACACACATATAAATTCCGAATCAGTAAATTATATGAAGATATCAAAGAATATGCCTAAGAAGTGGAAAGAAGAAGAAGAAAAAAAAAGATACCAAAACTGAATTTCAAATTCAGTTCTATTGAAATTATGTTTTTTACCTTTTGGGTAGTTTTCTATTTTTTTCTAATTAAAGAGGTTAAACTGTTCCTTAAAGAGAATCCATATTTTGGCAAATAGAAATTTAAATAAATACATGTCTGAAAAGAAACGAAATCTTGTCTTAGCTGGTGAAAAATACTTAGCCG